TGATGTTACATAATAGGCAAGGTAAGCTGCAACAAAATCGAATGTGGAAAAATCAAAGGGATAAAGTCCTACACATATTAGCTTGGAGATGATGATGCAATTGCTAACCTGGATATAATGCAGAAACAAGCAATCCACAAAACAAAACATTTCCTCTCGCGCGTCTCTGTGCCTATGTTGCTTTGGTGAAGAACAGAAATAAGAAGACGACATTAATGGTTTAGCTGCTATAGATTTCTCCTTGATCCAAAGAACATAAGAATTAAGATAATGAAGGGTGTTGCAAAAGCTTAATCTGCAACTGAGAAAATGGAGGAAAAAATTATGAAGAATAAAAGCAAGATAGAGAAAAACTCAATAGATCATGTCATGACAAAATGCTGTACCAATTAATGATTTTGATTAGATAAGTTTTCTTTTTTGGAAGCCATTATGTTGTTGTTACTGTTTCTGTGATTTCTGTTGATGGTACTGATTTATTGTCTTTGTTCGTCTTCTTGAGATGAGGGTCTTTCGAAAACAGTCTCTCTACTTCCTCAAGTAGGGGTAAGATCAGCGTACGCACTATCCTCCCCAGACTCCAATTATGGGATTACATTGAGTTATTGTTGTTTGTAAGTTTTTTTTTGGAAGATCATATAATTTTATATACATATCACAGTGCACATAATGTAAAAGATTTGCCGCGTTTGTCTTAATGATAATTTTCTAAAAAGCCATCCAAAAATACTATGTTGGTATTTTAAGAAACTTTCCAAAAAAACTTCTTGAACTTTAGTATGTTAAGAAATAACGAAAAACAATGTTTTCTTCCTTCATACTGTATTGGGAAAAATTAAGTTCGTATATGGAATTTATTGAAAGTTGACACGTCATGACACGTGGACCAGTCAAAGGATGATAGTTGACAAAGTATAATCAAAGAGACACGAGCTTCAACAGGCACGGACAGATATTCCGAAAAAAAATAAAAGATAGATGTTCGAACCTCTGTATGATTGAAGAGAATGAATCTGATAGTAAATAAGGCATAGATACATATTACCAGGCACTAAATACGGAAACGTTAGGGAATCTGTATTGAATCAAATATGATTACCAATTATAACGTAACATTAAATGCCATTAATTGTAAATAATGGCTCTATTATCGTAGAAACAAAACGTATTACCTAGAGATAGCTACAAAAGGAGAAGACTGATCATTTGTAAAGACACGAAATACTATTGGAATACATTGATTTACTTTGCATTATATTCAGCTATTATTTGTCAATTATTCTTTTTTCTACTTGATTATCAGTAACCCGAGTTCTTCTAAAATAAGCTTTGACCTAAATCATAATTTTTGGTTAAACAAATTGGTTCCGTTACCGGGAATCTGATAATCGTTTGCTTGCTTAGTCAATTCTTTCATCAAAAAACTTACCATGTCGAACGTCAACGACAACAACCAACAAGATCCTTAACATCAGGAGAATAATGCGGGTGATAGGACCCCACCTCCCTCACCGCGTGATTCACAACGTCAGTCACGAGAAGTAACTCCAGATGGATTTGAAGCAAATAACGGGATTGGGAACCAAAATGGATTTGAGGCAAATCAAAATGCTGGAGTTGCGAAAGAACAAGCACTCGATGATGCTCTGAAGAATTTAATTGCTCAACAAGTCAGTAATGCTCTCCGAGCTTTTACCAGCCAGTTACCAGTTGCGCCACAAACACCAACTCCGAATCAGAATACTTTGAAAAAACCCACGTTTTGGGCTCGTTAATTTAGGCACTGGTGGAACTCCCAGCATGTCTCATGATGGCGAACCAGGTAACATAGTTAACTCTGGTTTACAAAATTTAGTTCTAACCTTGCAGAAGCAGCTCAAGGAGCACACTACAACAAAAAGGGGATTTAGTGGCAATTATTTAGCGGCAACAAATTAACTTCCACTAATTTATTCATGAAAGGCAAATATTAGCGGCGAATAGATATTAACCAGTAAATATTATAATTTTAGTGGCCATTCAAAAAAATAGACGATAAAAGTACTGTTTTTAGTTTTCGTATTCCCGCTGGTTTCTTATTTTCCTCAACATTCTCTCCCGCATAAACATTATACCCTCTCACACCATTACGATTAAAGAAAATAATTCATAGGGCAAACTGTCTAAATTTCCATCGGTAACCAAATTGCCGGCCGCCATCAGAATTGTTGGTAATTATCTCTATTTAGTTTTTCAATTAGGTAGGTCTAAGGATTGATGAAAATTTCTAATTGCCGGGCGTACGGTTTCGATTGCCAAAGCTTTAATTCCTTAAATGAGAATTTTTTTTAGTATCTTCTATTGTAGGTTTATATAATTTTCTAGCTTCAAGAATCTAAAGAATTGTTTTCCCAATTATCAAATCATACCACTTACTGATTGCTGCAATGTTATTAATTTTATAGTATAGTTTTCTATATTGCATTATGAGTTTATTGATTTAACTACACTGTTTTTATATTCTAGATCTCTAGTTGAGATTTATTAGAAAAGTGGTGCAATAGAAAAGCTGTTGTGGAATATATTTCCACACCTTTCCTCCTCTAGTTCAGACTAATTTGTTTATTAGTATTTTTTTATTTTGTTTGAATGGATTCCAAGCAACTTGTGATGCACATTCTATACAACTCATATTTGGTTTGGAACACAGTTCACTCTTATTGTTGATACAGGGAGTACAGTTACCTATGTCCCCTTCTCTGAGTGTAAAAAGTGTAGCAACCATCATGGTTTGCTCACTGCTCAACTCTCATTGTCCTGCTTTCCCTCTTTTCTTTTTCTGAATAAATATTAAAGGTTATATATTTACCTCGATTCTGCAGTTGTGTATTTTGATAGCTCGATATGGAAATTAAAATTTGAAATGTTTATGTATAGGTGTAATTTCATAAACATTACTTAAGATACTATTGGTTCGTGAGGAAATCATTTGGTAAGATACTTTTATTTATAAGAATTAAGGAAAAGAAAACGTGGATACGTAAATAAGAGCAAACTAACCTATGTTGGATACAAATAGTTCTAAGCCTCTCTTTGTTAATAAGCTGTACAACTCGATTGTATAGCTTCATGATGTTTTAAATGTGATTCTTGCTTAATTTGCCTTGTAATCATAAAGGATCTCTTAATTGGAGAACAAATATGAGCACTTAAATAACTCCATGATTAGTAATTTTACTTTGAGTCAGCCTGTTAATTTTGTGACAAATGCTTAATATAGCACTTAGAATTGCATGGCATTTGATTTTTGTCCTTTGATCGGTTATACTTTGTGCCATGTCTTATTTAAGATCCTAAGTTTCAGCTGGAAATGTCAAGCACTATAAATCTGTGAAATGAAATAAGGCTTATCCTTGTGACCATAACTTAAGAGGCAGCCATGTATTTATGAGAGACGGTACGCTGAGACGAGTGTAAGTTTTGGATTTCTTGGAGAGGACATAATATCTTTTGGAAATCTAAGTGAGCTTGCACCACAACGAGCTATTTTTGGATGTGAAATTGTGGAATCTAGTGATCTTTACAACCAACGTGCTGATGGTATAATGGATTTGGGCCGAGGTGATCTTAGTATAGTCGATCAACTTGTTGAAAAACATGTAATTAGTGATTCTTTCTCCTTGTGCTACTGAGGGATGGATTTTGGTGGCGGAGCAATGGTTCTTGGTGGAATAAAACCACCTTCTCACATGGCCTTTACCAAATCCAATTTTGCTCTCAGGTATGCATTGGAAATAAATGTTTAGAGACATAGTGATGTTAGGTCTCCTCCAAGCAAATACACTTGATAAATCTGACGCATTTACTTTAGTCTCGGATGGCAACAGCCCGTACTACAATATTGGCCTGAAGGAGATACATGTCGATGGCAAGTCGCTGAACCTAAATCTCCAGTTCTTTGGTGGAAAACATGGGACTATTCTTGATCGATTGTACTTGGAAAGACTTTTCACAGTTTAACTAAATAATTACGGATTTAATTAATACATTCGATTCAAAATTGATAGGAGTATTATTTAAATCAAAATTTTGTGACGACTAAAGTCACAGAAGCTGACACTATCTAATTAAGTATCAAAAGTAAAAATAAAGTGGGGTTTTTACTACTCGTCAATATCACTAATATGTAGATATGATCTATATAGCGATCACCTCAACTAACTCGGCATTTAAGCAAAGTCTTAGTCATTAATACTAGAAAATTTGCTTTCAAGCTGAATTTTAGTAAGCCGCTAATCTGTTTTCTGCCCTTCTCTACTTCATTAATTGAGATGTCTGAAGATATAGAAATACACACGAAAAATTGCTCAAGAAGTTTGAAATGTTTACTTGAAAATAAAGAAAGTGTTTTCAGTCTTAAAGCATATGACCTCACATCATAAAAAAATAAAAAATAAAAGTATATAGACCTGCTCACAAAGAACTGCTACAAGACATCCAAAAACATTACTGCTAAAAAAATGAAAGTGAACAAAACCAAACCAATATGATATTCAATAAGCCCACTTTTTTGAGAGAAAAAACCTGAATTTGTTGAGGAAGATTGGCTGTAGAGGAAAACCTATAGTCACATACTTCTGAAAGGGGGAGAGCGCCAGGAGAACGTCAACACACCATCAGTATGGAGCGTGAGGCCAGCGGAGCTTGCTGCAGAGGAGATAAGAAAAGGCTGAGCAGAGGGGATCTGGTAACTGTTATGAATGTGGAGGAGTAGGACATTTTTCTTGTTACTGTTCCAATGTTCAGACGGACGAATGCTGCTAGGGTAGTGCAGAATAGACCAGCTGAAGATGGAAAAATTAACGTTGTCGAGCCTAGAGCCCGGGAAGCACTCAAGGTAAGTTCAAGTCGGAAACATAGCGGGAGTTTTCAAGCTTAGGAGAGGAGACAGTTTCGCTGTCGTAGACAGCCAAACATTTATTTGCCAATAGAAAATGAAACTTCTCTACTATTTCTACTAGTAAAAGGAAATTAATGGGAATTATTTACTATAGAAAGTAATTCAATGAGTTACAACATTCTCCCTGTTCTGTGATTATATATATAGTGATGTTACATTATAGGCAAGGTAAACTGTAGCGAAATCGAATGTGGAAAAATCAAAGGGGTGAAATCCTACACATATTAGCTTGGAGATGATGATGCAATTGCTAATCTGGCAATAATGCAGAATCAAGCAATCCACTAAGCAAAACATTTCCTCTCGCGCGTCTCTGTATCTATGTAGCTTTGGTGAAGAACAGAAATAAGAAGACGACATTAACGGTTTAGCTGCTATGGATGTCTCCTCGACCCGAAATGCCAGATAATGAAGGCTGTTGCAAAAGCTTATCTGCAACAAAGAAATTGGAGAAAATAATTATGATGAATGAAAGCAAAATAGAGAAAAACTCAAAAGATGTAACCCAAAAAAGCACAGGAAAGAGTTCGATTCGTGTTGCACGTGTATCATAATTATGAAATAACATACCATGATTTATTGGTTCTACAAGACATGAACTCGGAGACTTTTATACCCTGTCATCTCTTCTACTTCCTTTTTAACGTTCAGACTGTAGGCAATCAACTTAAGCAACATCAGTGTTGGGATATCCACAAAGCTAGAAGGGATCTCTCTAAGCCTGCAATTATCCATAATTCGTTTCTCCAGAACGGGGAAGGATGCCTCTGAGGAGCGCTATGAAGGGACAAATCCTTTAGAATTGAAGGGAAGGTCATGTCACAGCTACCCCATTTATTTAAGAATATATATGTAGGATGATAAACTCACGCACTACATCATGAACAACACAATACTTTATCTTCTCTCCTTTCATAAACCATTATTACGCTTCTATTCACTACATCAATCAAGCATCTTTTACATGCTTCCTCCATGTTCACCTCTGTAAAAATTTCAGCCATCCACAACTTTAGCAAAATGGACACTGAAAATCTGTAGTGCCTTTAAATGATCATAACTTGTTTCTATTATCTTCATGCTTTGTTCTTCTAAAGCATTGCAACCTCAAGCCACAAAGAGGCTCGCCTTTTCTCTGCAATAATTCCAGCAATCAAGACGATCACAAGTGGTAATCCTTTGCAGTTTTCGGCAACTCGTTGTCCTGCTTTGACTAGCTCTGCGGGACAGATTCCACCTTGAAATACTTTCTTCTGAAGTAATTCCCAGCTCTCATCCACCATTAGAAATTGAAGAAAATATGGTTTACTGTGATGCTTAAGCTGCCTAGCCACCTCTTCATCTCTAGTTGTCACCAGTATTCTGCTTCCATTTTCATCTCCACTTCAGAATAAGCAGAACTTAAAATTTTAATAAACAACAGTTTTAAATATTCGTAAATCGTGATCTTTTCTTCCACGGGGGATATTTTTAAAATCAACTTGAACTTGGAGAGAGTCACATCCAGTCATATCTTCTACTTCTTTTTTAATGTTGAGAGCTGAATCCTCAACTGACTGCATGCAGCCCCACAATCTGATCAACTTCAGTGTTTGGATATCCGCGAAGCTAGACGGGATCTGTTGAAGATACTCACAACGACGTATAACCAGTTTCTCAAGCACGGGGAAGGATGCGTCTGAGGAGCGCCATTTGGTCATATAAACAACTTTTAAGTTCAAATATTTGAGTGCTGGGAACTTGTAATCACGTACATCCCAACATTTGATATCTTCATCCTTGAAGCGTATTCTACGTAGTTTGAGTCTCTCAAGATTTCGCAGTCTAGCAATATTTGAAACAACTTTTTCTGTTAGGACAATGCTATGAATGGACAATTCCTTTAGATTTAAGGGGAAAACAATACAGCTGCCCCTTCCGGTTCCAAAGAAATGCGTCTCTGGCATGACTGAGAAGCCCACTTCGAGAGATTGAAGTGGGAGTTCTTCAAGATTCGGCATATCAAATTCTGGTGAGGAGAACTTATGATATCTAGGTTCAACAATGTGGAGCTTGAGTTGTTCAATATTTTTAAATCTCCACCAGAACTCCGGAGTCATATCAGCCAAATATATACAGCATTTCCCGAAAGACTTCAAGTTCGGTAACACAGTTCGTGAAGATTCTTCGAAAATTGCTCGATCATTGTCTTCCCATTCGAATTCAATTTCCTTGATATCCACATGCCTTAGCTTCTGCATTTTCCAAAGACCAGCAGGGGATATCTTACTTATTAATGAATTAGGCCGCCACCCCACCCGCAAAGTTTGTAGATCGAGTAAGTGTGATACCCACGAGAAATCAAATTTTTCGGTCCATATTGCAAGATACCTCAAGTGAGTTACTGCTTGCATTGCCCTAGCCCAATAACATACATTCAAGTAGACATTCGACAAATCCAACACCCGAATAAGTCTAATGCAATCAAGTAAAAGGACATGATTTGTCAAACTCAGGTCCCATTTACAGAGGTTTGGATGAGCAATGAACTCAAGAGATCCTACTTCACTCAACTCCGCCAACGTTGGAATTTTATTCAATGAATATTCATGCTCCATCAACTGCTTGGCCAGATCGTCATGAACATATACACATAATCGAGGTTCCTTTACACCTAAAAATTGGTATGGATTATATGGGATTATGACCTGCATATACTTTTCTTTTGCAAGTTTTCTCAAGCAAAACTCACGCACTACATCATGAAGAGTGCAGTACTTTATCTCACCATTATCTCTCCTTTTAGAAACCATTACAAGGCTTTTGCTCACTAGATCATTCAAGAAATTTGTATATGCTTCCTCCAAGTTATCTGTGTACGAATTCTGTACAAAATTTTCAGCCATCCACAACTTTAGCAAAATAGAAACCGGAAAATTGTAGTCTTCTGGAAACAATCCCGTGTAAAGAAGGCAAGCCTTTAAGTGATCTTCCAGATGGTCGTAACTTGATTCTATTATCTTCATGCTTTGATCTTCTAAAGCATGGGAACTTAATTCATTTGCGACCTTAAACCACAAAGAGGCTTGCCTTTTCTTTGAAATAATTCCAGCAATCAAGACAATCACAAGTGGTAATCCTTTACAGTTTTTGGCAACTCGCAATCCTGCTTCGAGTAACTCTTGTGGACAGATTTCTCCTTGAAAAACTTTCTTCTGGAGTAATTCCCAGCTCTCATCCACTGTGAGAAATCGAAGAAAGTGTGGATCGCTGTGGAGCTTAAGCTGCCTAACCACTTGTTCATCTCGAGTTGTTACCACTACTCTGCTTCCATCTTCACCATATGGGAAAGATAATCGCAACTCTTCCCATGCCTTAACTTCCCATATATCGTCTAACACGATGAGGTATCTCTTGCGCATTAGACTCTTTCGCAACTTGTGAGGTATGTCTTCATCT